CGCCCAATCCATCGCTGAGGGTACTGTTCATTGAGTTCATCTCAAACGTGACGGGAGAAGTGTCCTGGGGCTCTGTCGTGCATAAACCACATTTGTCCTCTTGTATTCAGTGGTACATCTTCAAGGAGACGTGGCAAGCGTCTTCTTAAGAATCGCCGATTTGAAGGTCCTCTTAGACGCGATGGAAGCATGTGTGGACCAATAAGCATGTCGCGAACAATTCCTGCCCAAACGTTAATTGAAAATCTTTGCTGGAAGCCTGATTCACTTTGATATAAAGTCATTCATTGAAACTTATTTTTGGCTATTATTTCGAAAATGAGACATTTGCGACCCCACGTTCATAGGAACATTTCTTATTATTTTTGATCCTGGAACACGCACACGAAGTTTGTAAACATACTTCTCAATCAGCCTGTATAATTATCATGAAGAAAAGGCATTTTGAAATGGTTTTTAAGGCTTCATTTTCTCGTCATATTACAAGAAGTAATAATAGTAACAATAAATATTATTTCTTTCGGTCTGTCTACTTGCTCTTATATGCCAGATTGAATTATATTTTTACACATTCATACAATTAACGCAACACATCACTACATTCCTAAGTGAGAGATGTTGTTATGGTCATTTCATAATCGGATGATATAAGCATAAAGTGATCTAGGTAGCAACAAATCACGGTTCCACATGAGGGTCAATACGAATGGTCCTGTGATGGGAACCATTTCCATAAAGCGGTTGAACGATGTTGTATTTCCTACTTACATTACGCCAGTTAACCTAGAGTTCAGGGTTATAGAGTCTTAACAGTGGCCGTAATCATTAGAAAAAAAATTATATTAATTGTTGCACACTCAGTTAAGATGTTGTTCCACGTATTACTTCACTACCAGACACTTTAGATTCTCTAAAGACTGAAGATGTCTGTCTTATCGGTTGTTGCGCTGTGTAGTATGGTAAAACTTTACCGACGTTTCAGAGGTGTTGCTGCCGCCATAACCAGGGCTATGTCCTTTTATACGGCGCAACAACTCAGAAGATAACTAATGTTCATACTCGCCGCTGTAAGAACTGGAGATCTCACTCACTACATTTTGATTTTATGAGGAATATCAAAATATTTCCTCTTAGTTAAGGATCCACCACCAAACGTTATTCTTAATTACTGGCCGCTGCTACAAAAACGTAAATGAAAATGTAAACTTGAAAACACTCATAAGTTTCGTCAAGCGCACTTCACAGATTTCTTTTGAGAACCTTGTCCAATGCTCCCATACTTTCATAAACGAAACAAAAGTCTGCCAATTTGTATTTTTATCTTGACTGCATGGGTCCCGGTTAGATTGTTTCTACAGTCTCATTCTGCGCTGTATGCCACAACTGAAGCAGCGTATTCTATAGATGCAAACTAGCAATTTATTCATTGTCTCGACCAATTAAAGACCTCAATTAAGCGTACAGCACACACTTAGATCAGAAGATTTGAAATGATGGATGTGCTCAAAATTATTACAGTCATGCACGCATTTTGATTCGAGGTTATACTTATTTTCGGGGTGGAATTTTTTTAGAGCTTACTTAATGTTACGTCGGTACACTTACGAGCTTGTATATCGATTCAACAGAGTTATATATTTTAAAAATATGACGTATTCAAACTGATATTAGTAAACTCGTTAATAAGTTAGAATTTTATATTCAGAATAAAATTTACAGCTACAGTTGTCTCTAAATTTTCTGTTCTGACGAATATTGTAATGTTATGGTTTCCATGCCATGCATTGAAATTTTTATAGTCCTATCTTGTAGCGTGCTGCAATACGCCTACGAATATGGAACTGTAATTCTATGGTCGCTACTGTTTGATAAGAGCTCCAGTTAAATACAGATAAGACAAAACCTCACTCATGGACTGCGTGGTCACCAAAACCACCCTTCAACTTGTTTTGTGCAATTAGGACTCCATATGACGTGTGTGGTGAATATTGTGCTTGGCATTTTTATGATCAAACTGAAGTTTGTAAAACATTATGAACTTTATGTGAATAAATGCAAAACACAAAATATAAAAACATAAAGATTTAGTAATGGATGGCCGCAGAGTGAAAAGCCCTAATGTAGCCTGCTTTATTAAAATCCTACTGCAGGACATCATGAGAAAACATAAGAATTTAAATATTAATAATGGTAGTTAATAACTAATAACCGAGTAGTAATGTATTTATCTATAGAACAGAGATATTAGAAATTATTTCATGCCAGTAGAAAGGGCAGCAAGAACTCAAAATGTGACTATGAGAAAATACGTAATGTGGTAGATGGCTGTCTTCTGTGACTTCTGGAGGCAGCAAGGACCTCTGAGAGGTTGGTAGACTTCTATCAGACTACATAGCGTTACAACCCAGAAGACAGCTATCTTCAGACTCACCGCCGTGGAAACATCAAATCCTACAAGTAAAGTGGAGTCCAGAGAATGGCGTAATGTTTTCAAGCGTTTGCTTTCTAAAAATAAATATTTAACTTTGCACAACCGCTACGGTGTAATGGATTTTGCTTAGTGCTGAAGGGACTACGAAAGGTAAATCAGCATTAGTTACACTCGAGCATGCATACTTTATGTTGTGACAAAATTAATGAGCGATGTTTTGAATATTCACGTCGCATTAAAATGCACATGATATGATCACATTTTCGATGGCTTGTAAATTGAGACGTTGTTTCAATATTAGTTATGCTTGTCTTGCACTGCTCAGACCACGTAGCGTGCATCAGTTCGCATGCCTCATGTCATTTCCTTTCCACATATACAAGGCCCGAGCCGCTAGCTACCTGTTTTGTGTAGGCCGTTAGCTTGCCTCCTAGATAAGTTCCTGACACAGTAGTTATGACAGCTTTATAATACTGGCGAGGCAGTCCATGACCTTATATGTGTCCCACAAAGGGCTCCTTTATTCCTTTTATTCCTTCACAAAGTTCTGTCGAAAACCGAACCGTTAACAATAACTGACTTTGTGCAATTTATTGTGCTTAGTGCATTGCGTTTTCGTAAAACCTTCTTCTTCTTCTGTGGCGCGACAGCCCAAAGTCGAGCCATGGCCTCCTTCTTATAAAATTTAGCTCACTGTTTTATGAACATAATATAATTCGCCCGACCTTCTTAAACCATAAACTCAGATATAAAGGCAAGGAAATACATAGTAAATTTAGTGATAGCATTAATTTGTTAAACTTTAAATATGAAACTTCATCGAATCCCAACATCACTGTAGATAACTAACTCTTTTTTAGTCTTTCTAGTGGGGTGATGATGGAGGCAGCAAGGACCTCGGTAAACGTCTACCAGACCACACGGCACAACAACCCAGAAGACAGCCATCTTCAGACTCACCGCCGTGGAAATCTCATATCCTGCATAGTAGGATGCAGTTACCAAGTATTGATATGCGTTTTACTGTTGTAAGAAATGTGTATTATTATTTAGTGTTCTGTCTGACGACAGGTCCATATGAACAGGATTCTTCCATCCTTTTCTCGGACTGGGACCTGTTCATATACGTTCTTGGCAGATGATCCAGAAGTGGTTTGCCATTGCCTTCTTCTGTGTGTGAATGGAGTAATTGTTGGGATGCCACGGAGGA